ATCAACACCAAATAAAAAAATCAATGCCTATAGCTTGCTCCTCTCATCAAACCTTCTTTATTGTTTGGACCGGCCGGTTCACCGGTTTAACCGGTTGAACCGGTCAAACCGGAAACCGGACCTGAAAACGGTTCAATGACCGGTCCGGTTTTGAAAACATTGACTCTACCTTTAAATGGATTAAAGAGAACACTTAAATTTTTAGATCCAATAACGTCAAATCATATTTAAGTGCATTTTCCCATCCCAAGACAACAATTTGAATTGATCCCTTAAGAACTTGTTAAAAAAAAAAAGAAAAGGATTAAAGGGAAATCTAAGTCCTCTATCTAGCTACAGCTATAGTGACTGGGTCCTCTTTCCTCACCTGTGTAAAGCTGATAATTGATTTTCCTTGCATGTATTGGGAGCTCAATCCCAAGCTATTTTAATTTTCTCTAAAACGGTAATGGACGGAATATTTCTTGTATTTTTTTTATACATTTTGTTTATTAAAAAAAATTATATATATTCTAAAAACACAAATAAACAATTTCTTTTAATTAGTTAGGTAGATGACATTGTGTACCATTTACTAGTAGATTGTTGTAATATGAGTAGCGCCTTCAAGCTTATTAGCTAAAATTTTAAATGTAAAAAACTTCTTTACCCATCAACGAGAATTTAAATATGTGTAACTTCCTCCCCACCTCTTTTCTTCACAAATTCAATTACTTTAAACTATCTTATAAAAAAAAAGAAACTTTTTCTAATATTAAATTGAAAGAACATTTCACAATTCTATTACACTAATAATATAATAGAATAAAAAGGATAGTTGACTTAAAAAACAAATAGTTGTCCTGGAATTTGAGTAGGATGAGGATCACCTCATTGTTTTTTTGCCTTGTTTCTAAGGTCCCCCTTGCCAAACTCTTCATCTCTTTCAATGTACTCAACTAAATGTGAGGTTTTTAGTATAAAATTTTAAATTCTTAACTACTAAAAAAATCATCGAAACTTGATATTTCATTGTCTAATACTTAAAAAATAAAATAAGATTATGAGATTTTAGTAGTAGTAGTAGTAGTAGGAAGAATTTACTTTGTTTAGTTTTACTCTTGTAATTTCTGGAATTGAAGTGGATAAGACGAGTCAATAAAGGGCCCAAGAGAAGAGTAAACGGTCACAGGCAATTAGGTGAAGCGTCCACATGTTCTCTCGTGATGTTTGTCTTTTTCAAAATTTTCTCGAGGAATGGCTTGGGTTGGGCCGATCAATTTAAAGCCTCCAACGTCACCTCAATCCGGGCCTTAGCTTTTCTCTCGATAATACTACATAAGAAAGCTCTGGACCGGCTGGGTTGCTAGTCTTTGGGCCTATTCTAAGGTAGCCCATATATAAAGAAGAAAGACAATTAAAATAGTTGAGAAATATTGATTAGTGTTTATCGGTGAAATCTGTAAAAGAATTAGCTAGAAAAATGTTTAAAATTAAAGTATAATGAAAAATAACTAAAATAGTTTTATTTTTTTATTTAAAAACTAGAATGTTTTAGTATTTTTCAATAAATATTTATTAAAAAAACATAGTTTTAAAATATGTTTTCACCTAATTTTTTATAGGTACAGCTCACAAATATTTTCTCATTTTTATTTAGTTTAAGAAGGGCAAGTCTTAGAAGTTAGAATCCAAGTGATTGGATTCACTAGTAAATAAATGTAGTTTCAGCCAAGTACATAGTTTAAGTGTTTAGGTGAGTAACAAAGATACAAACTCATTCAAGACACTACCATGCAAAAGCCAAAGAAAAAAAAAAAAAAAAAAAAAAAAGGAACCAATGCTTTAGGAAAATAAGTAAACAATTATGAAATCTGACAATTAAGTTGCTAACCATAAGTTTGGGTTTAATCTATAGTCACTTAAAAAAAGACTGGTACCAAATTAACCAATTAACCAATTAACAAGGTTTAGGCCTTTTGGGCCAGTGTGCACCTCTCAAAATATTCTCAGCCCAAAAACTGAAAACAGCAGCACATGGAAGTACTCACTTTCCCACTCATCGGCTCCCTCACTCATCACTTCCAAATGATCAAAAAAGAGGAAGAAAATGATGAAACAATCCATCTATATGCAATCATCATTAGAATCCCACATCAATTTCCCTTACTTTGATGCAAAAATTCTCATAGAAGAGAAAGAAAAGAGGAAGGGGATACATAGTAACATTATGGAAAAGAAGCATATGTTGCTACCCTTTTCTTAAAGTCTGCAAAAGGATGTGTGGAAACTTTGTCTCCGTTCTTATGCGTTGTCTTTTGTAGATGCCATAACACAATTTCATTCTTTTTTGGTATTGGAGGGGTCTCTCATCTTGTCCTTGTTTGTACAATTAAAAAACTAAAAACTAGAAAGAAACTGCCACCGAAATTCCTTGTTCCATATATTTAATCTCTTGTCTATGAAAAGCACTATTCAAAGTTTAGTTCTAAAAGTCACGTTTTGATTTTAAGAAACTGAGACATTCCATTCAATGAATTCTTTTCCTTTACTCAATGCCAATGAAACGCCAAGAGGTGGAATAATTGGGGCTCAACTGGATTAAGCATATATAAGCCTTATTATTTTCGCCTCAATAACTCGCGAAAAAAAAAAAAGAGTGTGAATATAAGAAAATTGCACTTACCAATTAAGCATAGGTTACCATTAACTTAAATAATTTAATAGTAATTTTTTTATTAAAAATAAAAAATTATAAATTTAAGTTACATATATGTTATATATAAAATTAAAAAATTAAACATATTTTTTTTATTATGTAACTCAAAATCAAAAAATAAATAAAGCACAAGCTTTACTTAGATCATGAGAATAACCTTCTAACATTAACCTTAATTCCAACTCTAACTACGTGTAGATTAAGCAACTCCCATAGCTGATAAATACTTTAATATTACAAACTAAGCTTTTCCCCATACAAGAGTTTTTTTAGTTTTGAGGGAGACAATTTTACTCATAAACAGCTACAAAAAAAAAAAAGCTGTGGCAAATAGCATCTTTATACCAAAATTTTTTTTCTAAAATTTTATATCCAGATTAAAAATTTAGAAAAGTGTTGGGTGATCTAACTTGTTACGGATTTCACAACTATAATGGGGAGGGTCCCTGAATATAGATCATTCCTCCTCCAATATCAATGGCACAATTTTTGAGTCAAACCGTTAAAAAACGTGCTCTTAAAAATGAAGTAAATACATATAAAAGATGAAACAATAGAAATGGGTCTCACTCCACAGCAATAGAATTGGGTGCCTTTCCACCCTCTAGAAGCAGTGGAACAAAGTGAAGGTTACCCCTGCAGCTACGGTTTAATTGCACCCTAACCAATAGAGCTAAGGCTGCACGTACAGCCTAAATATTTTCTAGTGAGCCTAATTCAAAATGTTACTTTTTCTCATAGGGAAAAATTAGGGTATATCATCACAGACACATAGGAAAAAGGTACTGCAAGGAGAAATAGATGAATAGATAACAAAACTAGCTAGCCCTCAATACCAAACCCAGATGCAGTGGAAAAGAGGGGAACTTTAGCTTTAAAAGGGCCACCGACTTTCTGCAGTTTATTTTCTTTTCCTAAATCATTCCCCAACTTTATCTTCTGTTCCTGCTTTTGAGGGAAAAATTAGATTCCATAATACACAGTATCCATATAAAATAACCCACTTTTTCTGCAAAAGATATCATTCAGATAATCATCAAATTACATGATTACATACATATATCTAACCACACAATCTTTTTAACTAAACAAAGATTTGGTCCGTAATCCATTTAATTGGGATTATACATACTCCTTTCACCCAAAATAATTATTTTTTTTATACAAAATTTGTCTCAAAATAATTGAAGTTATTTTTTTTTTTTTTAAGGGAGACAAAGTTGTTTTCCTATTTTAACTCTATTATTATTCATTAATTTAAATTATCTACCCTATTATCAAAATTTTATTTTTATCTTTATTTCTTTCTTAAAGTTAATATAAGGTAAATACATAATTGTTGACAAATTCTTAATACATAGAAAAAGTCATAAGACAACAAATGTTTTAACATAAAGAGAATAGATGATTACATTTATGGGTCAAGGTAAGAGTTTGTCAAAGTCTTGGCACATACTTTGACTCCATTTATCTTAAAATAACTGTCATTTTTTTAAATTAAGTTCATTTTAAATTAATTGTTATTTTTTTAATTTTTAAAGGTGGACAAATATTTTTTTCCTATCTTAACATTATCATTATTCATTTATTTTGATTAATTATCCTATCACAGAAGGTTTCTATTTATCTTTTATTAGTTTTTTTAAAGGATAATATAGATAAATATATAAATTATCTCAAAATCTTTAATTTGAAGAAAAAGTAAAAAAAAAAAACAATTATTTTAAAACAAGAGAGTAATCTAAAAGTATCCCAAACTTTTTTTTTAAGGATATGTTTAATTTGAAGGAAGGAAATAAGAGAAAATTCCTTTTTTTCATTAAAAAATAGAGGAGAGGGGAAGGGAGGAAGTTATTACTCTATTTTTTTTCTGTTTAATTTTTTTTTTATCCAAATGAAATTTTACTCCATTTTCCTCTCCTTCTTTCTGTTTCCCTAATCAAACTAAATATACCCTTAAAAAGATTACATGCATAAAATATTATGTAACATTGGAAGTTTTAATTTGAAGGTCACTCATAAATTAATATACATTTATACATTTAACTATATGTAAAATTAAATCATGTGCAGAAACCATGGTAACTTTAGAGGACATCTTTCTTTTTTTTTTCTTAATTATCGGGAAGAAGCACTTCAAGCTGATGGACTGCTGACACCTCATAAGCTAACATATTAAATTTATTTGTTGATAGGAAAAGGTGAAAAGGGAAAAGATAAAAAATAAAAAAGAAAAAGAAAAAGAAAAGAAAAGCAACCTTAGAGAGCATCTAAGAAACTAATATATGTAGCTTACTTTTACTCATTAGAAAATAAATTAGGTGAAAAGATGTTTGTATAGAAACCAATTAATAAAGCTTACTTAATTGAGAGGTTGAGAAAAAGAAATCTTCTTCTTGACCTCTACAGTCACACGCATTACCACTTACACACCTAAAAAATTAAAAAGTCTTCCACCTTTTATTAGTCATTAACTCTACAAATTCACAATTGAAGAATTGAAAACAGTTTTTTGGAGTATTATCAAAATAATTTATCACAAATTACCAAATTAATAATCCAACAAAAAAATTAATATGTAGATTAACCCTAATTAGCTTCCCTTCTAAAAGCGAGAAGCAACAAATTCTCTACTCAAGAGCTTGTATGGCCTAATTGTATATTTTTGTAAAATATTTGTTTGAATAGATTTTTTTTTTTTTTTGTAAAAAAGTTTGAATTTCAAATTCATAGAAGATTTGAAAATATATAAAATTATCATATTTAAAATTTTAAAATAATATTTTTGTTTAAAAAATAATTGATATACCATTTAATTCAACACATTTCATAATACTCACCGATTCAATTATTAAATTTTACAATTCTTAATTTTTTCACCTTAATTCAAATTTAAAATTAATAATTTTTTAATAAACATATTATAAAATATGTTAAACTAAAAAATATATCAATTATTGTCATTATTTCAAAAGTAACATGTTTGCGTTTGGTGATGTTTCAGGTTTTTAAAACGAAAATTTTCTAGAAATATTATAATACCTTCTGAAAGAAGTGTGTTTTAGCCAGCCTCAATTTTCGCAACTGAGTTCTTCTTTTAAGTAACAAAACCAACAGGACTCCGCCACCTATATACTTAAGAGTTTTAATTAAAGTTATAGCCCTTTTTAAAGAGGGTTTTAACTAATTGACCCGTCCTATATATAAAAGAGAAAAGTTAAAGTTGTGAAGATAATAATCTTTATGTGATTCTAAAGTGCAAACATCTTTAATCAAGATTTAAAGAAGAGATAAGCCTAATTTTCCACTTGAATCTTTTCAAACTTTTTACTTTCAACTTGTTTAAGTTATTTTGAACCCTCAAAACCGCTACTTTCCAATGCATTCCAAAGATGAGAATGTTGGTTTGGAAAATCAAAGAGAGAAAAGTTATTCCTTTTCTACGAAACGCATCAGAAAGCATTAAAAGTAGTGCTCTTTCGACATTTCTTAGAGAAGATTTTGCTTTTCCCTTCTAAAGTAGAAAAGTTGCTTCTCCTTTGCACAACTCTTACGTTATGGATCACACCTTAATCCTTTTTTTTTTTTAATAACATGAATATTTTGATTTTGACCTGATTAATTTGAAGTGTATTTGTAAACTTCTCTGTACATAAGTAGCATCAAGCAAAGTTTTGGCGAAAGAGTATTTAGCCCTCTTACTTCTTGAGTTTATTGATATGAGTCCCTCTATTTTTTCATAACTTATCAACCTATTTACTTTTTATGTTGAAATAAATCGTTCTACTTTCTATTCAATTGAAATAAATCACCTCAAATTTAATAGGTAACATTATGACATGTCACAATTTTATGAAACCCATTGCATAATCGTTAAAGTTTTGATGATTTGGCCTTTGTGGTCCCCTTTTTGTAACATGGATAGTTTTTTTCTTGCTAGACATAATTTGATGACATGGGAAAAAATTGCTGACTGGGACTCTTTGCTCAATGACAAAAATTAGTTTCTAAGTGTTGTTTTTTATTTCTATACATATGGATTAAATTAAACTAATAACTATTCATGTAATTGTTTCTTTCTTTTATCCAATATTGTATCCTTAGTTAGGTTTAGATATGAATGAAACATATAAGATATTACTGATAAGATGAGGTATTTGAGATGAACTTTGAAAAAAAAAATAATGCACCTTAAATGTTGAAATAAAAATTAGTTTGAACTTAATAAAGAGCTGTAGGAAAGAAAAGAATGATGGAAACAAATAAACCTATTACATGAAAGAAGCAATGTTTTAATGGTTGAATCGGTGGCCGACTCATTTTGGTCATTGGTTTTGATTCAACTGATCAGTTGACTTAATAAATAATATTAAATTAATTTATTATTTATTAAATATATTTTTATGCAAGATTAATATTAAAAATTAGTGTTTATTAGCAAGATCTTAAAAAAATTAGGAGAAAAAATATTTTAAAACTGTATCATTTTAATAAAACATTATAATAAAGTACCAAAACAATCTTATTTGTGCTTTAAAGGTAAGTTATTTTAGTCATTTTTTAATAAGACTTCATCAAAATGATATAGTTTTATAGTGATTTCCTCCTAATTTTTTAAAAGTCTAATGAACAAATACTTTTCCCTTAACTTCTAGATAAATTAAATTATTTGATGTGAACTTTGGAAAAAAGTTAATGTCCCCTAAAAATGTTGAAACAAAAATTAATCGGAATTTAATGGAGTAGTAGAAGGAGAAGAATGATGGAAATTAACAAATAAACCTATTACATGAAAGAAAAGAACAGACATGTACATATGTAGCTTGACATAACAGGCAACCTCTTCTTAATTTTATCCAACTCTAGGAAGTGTCTTTAGAATCTAATTAAGCACAAATCCAACAAAAGATAATTTCAAAAAAAAAAAGTTGATGACATGAACAACTTTTGAAGGATTAATTAACTTTCTGATCAACTATATGACTCTTGAATTTTGAAAACAATTTTTCTATCAACAGAATCAAGTAGCCCAATGTCACCAATCGATTGATCCTCGAGACCATCATCATCAATGGAAATATTCAAATCAACTGTGACACAAAGACTCATCTCTTCATTACTCCCTTCTAATTTTTGCTTGGAGGGAGGAAAGCAGGCCCTCGATTTCAAGCTGAAGCTTATGCAGCTCAAAATAACAATAGCATCTCCAAGGCTAACTTCCTCACCGTTTCCATTAATTACTCTTCCTCGTTCCATTGCCCTTTTGAACCCCATTTGGGAGCAGTAATCCGCTTGCTCAATATCCTCCACAAAAAACACTCGATGAGGGTTTAGTGACACAGCTTCAGCAAACTTCTCAATGTAACTGCATTGCTGTTCATCTCTTAATCTTTTGTTCCTACTATTTTCAGTCGAATCTGCTCTAGTAGACGAAAAATTGCTTAAAGAAATGGTGACGAAGTTCTCTGAGGAACCGAAAACAAGCCTGGCCAACTCTTTAGCTATTTTCTCTTTGGCTTGAACATCCACTCCTTGAAAGAACAACCATGTTTCTTCTTTGGTTTCTCCTTCTCCCACTCTAACTTTCCTTTTTACCTTCTGGGACCTGCATTTCAAGATCGTGCTTGCAATCTTCGGAATTATATCTTTCTGCCACGGTACCTTCTTCTCCAAGGCACTGCATAAGGTTGTTAGGTTTTCTGTGCTAAGCTCGTTGAAATTCCGAACGCACTCCATCTCCATGACTTCACTAGAAGAAGACGAGTTAGGGATTGATGATAATTGTTGTTTTGGATCATTATTATGGTCTGGAATAAACAATCTCAAACAAGGCTCATGACTACTTTTGTCAGCTTCAAAAACCTGAATATTGTGGTCCGGTGGCCATCCGCGGTGTAGAATGGGGAATTGGTAATCATGGGAAAAGCAATTAGAAGTGGAGGAAGATAGTGAAGAGAACATGGGGGTTCTTTCAGATGAGAGCGGTTGTTTGTGAGCTGAATTGCGAAGTGAGTTCCCCTTTTTGCAAAGGTCTTGGACTGGGGCAGAGTCCTAAAATTAAAAAGGAAAAAAGGTTATTTTTTTTTTCCATCAGCAAAAAATAGTTAAATTTATAGTTCAATTAATGAACCTATCATATTAGCTGAGGTAGTACCCATTAACACTTTCATTCTAAATCAAGATCTTATTTGTGGATAAAATAAATCTTTTGAGTTTGTAATTATTATTAGTTTATAAGAATGTTGTTTTGCAATTTGACCATTAATTTTGGAGAGAAAAGCCTTACATTCAGTGACCCTCCCTATCAATGGTTATAGTCATGCAATTCACATTAGGTTGGATTGCGCAGCACTTTTATGTAGTTTATTACCTTATCACTGCAACCAAGTCCTTTGTTTCCATCCATGCATTGTTGAAGCCATGCAGGAAGACTTGAAGTGGTGGACTCAGTATTACAGTTGCTGCTTTGTAAGCCTCGAACTTCCATTTCAAACTTGGAAGCACAATCAGCATAGCAACTAAACTGTGTCTTTTCCCCTCCACCTTCAAGAGAAAGCCAAGTAGACCCATTTTCACCTCTTTTGCTTATTGACTGACTTTGTATATCACTGGGAAAAAAAATCAAAAAAGAAAATAAAGTTGAATAAGTTTACATAAAAGCATATTCTCAAATTAAGAACCCTCTTTCTTTTTACTTCTTTTGAGGCAAAAAAATTATTTGTTTTGTTTATATAGTCTGATTTATACTCAAATATCTTTTTAATTAGAATAATTAAAATAAAGATATAGTTTGTTATCTATTTAGAAATTGTCTTAATAAAAATTTTTAACCATTACAAGTACAAGATTCTAAGTTAAGAATTTTTAAGTTAAATTTTGAAATAGATAAAAGATTAAAAAAAGGGAAAAACATCTTTAATTATATAATATAACTATATACTAAACATATCAAAAAAAAGTTATTTTAGGAATTAACTTGAATTGTAATTAGTACTTTTTATAAAGAAAAACAGAAGCGGTACACAACAATTTCAGAACTTTATAGATACTGACCTGTCAGTGATGAGACTCAAGCGTAGGTTGTCGGCCGGGATTGTGAGAGGATGAAGACCCAAAACAGACTCTATTGACGGATGACCAGTTTTGCATCTCATGAAAGTTTGGAAAGTAGCAATCCCCATGATCCAAAACCTTGCATCTTCCCCCACGCTACAAACCAATTTCCCAAGCTCCATGATCATGTGCTCAACTGGGCAATAGTACCCCCTCAGTTGCTCACTTGGACTAGCCCTATACTCAATTGCCCACTTAAGATCTCCTAAATTCAAAACCACACCCGTGCTTGTACAGCTCCTCACAAGACTCTTGAGTTCCTCGAGTTTCTGCTCCACCTCTAGTCTATTCAAATGCCCAAAAGAAGAGAAAGGAAGGGTTTTGAACTTTACTTCCCTAAGAGACTCAGGGACATCTCTCTTGTCAACTTTGTCCATCACTGCTCCAACTATACCCTCAATGCTAGAAATACACTCTCCTACTACTACCATGCTTCTCCTTTTTTTGTTCATCAAATTCTCTATAACATACATGACATCTTCATTCCTAATTGGACCCAAAACTTGCGGTTTCACCACTTTATCTGCCACTTTACTACTTGATTGAGAGGGTACGACAGTATTACTACTCTCTTTGTTGGACTTACTACTTGCAGAGTTAGGAGTGCTTTGGGAGCATATTTCTAAGGAAATGACTTGTTCCACTTTGCTTTTGACTAGTGTACTAGAAAAACCGGCTTCCCTCATGACTCTACTTACACTAGGATCATCCAAAATAGATACCATAAGCTGCTCTAGATCTATCTTGACTGCTAGGAGAGGTTGCTGCTGGTTCTCGATGGAGCCACGTCGTTGGTGAGCTTGAGCACGCTTGAAGGCGGCAACCAAGGCGTTGGAAATGGAAGGGGATTGGGAATGAGTTCCATACATGGGGCTCGAGGTGGAAGTAGGAAGGCGGTTGAGGGCAACATTGAAACAAAGGTCTAAGGCTTTGCACTGGAAGGGGTGGGAGTGGGATTGAATGCATGCTGTCCGTAGAAGGCCTGTGGCGTTCGAAAGCATGGTGTTGGCTACATGTAAGGGTGTCACCTGAGCATGGCCTCTCTGCCTGGCAAGGTTTACAGCCTGCTTCACAACGTTGGCAGCCTCTGTGGTTAAGGTTTGCTGCACTGTGCAACTTCCCGCTCTCATCGTCTCAATCAAAACCTATTTTTCTGCAGAAGAATTTAGAAAGATTAGATCAGAGGGTGTTCCTTTAGGAAATTTTGCCCCATGGAGGTTGCTTGGACTAAATGAAGGAAGATCTTAGTAGGTTTCTGAGGAGTAAGAGTTGAATAGTGGAGCTTGGGGTTATCTAATCCAAGTATTTAGAAGATAGATTGATAGATTTGATGGGGGTATAGATTCATAGAGAAGGTATTAGGGTGTGAAATATATGGGGGGGAGGCGGAGGTGGGTATGCTTTTCTTGTAGGTGAGGTAAATCTGGGGTCCAAAGTCGATTTGGCTGTGGAAAGTGGAATGCATGTGGTGACAAGCAGGACGAATTGCACCAGTATCAAAGGTAACTCAGCTTTCTCTCTCTCAAATTTGATAAAGATATGCTACAGCTAAGTGGGTCTCTCTCTTCTATGCAACAATGTATATAGTAGTATTTATAACCTAAAAATCAACAAAAACGTCCCTTTATTTGTAATTGCACAATAAACCTTTGCCATCATTTGTTATTTTCAAGGCTTAAGATCCTAAATGAGACCCACGTTGATCTAGTAGTAATTTTTTTTTTTTTTGAGAAAATGAATATGATGAATTTACTTACCAATTAAAAAAGCCTTAAAGATTACAACGTACAAATCATATATAGTTACATATAGAGAAATTTTAAGTTTAAACCATTCATAAAAAAACATAGATTAATTATAAAAAATGCAATCTTCTTTTTTTTTTTTCTTTTTAAATTTTACCATACAATATCAAATTTCAATACTTTAATATCTCAAACTATATATCAAAAGTAAATCATCACTTAACTATTGCATACTAATTAAAACTTTTAAGAACAACAAATTAAAACAATAAACTGAGGAATCCAACATGTAGTGACTTATTGACCACTCCAATAAAAAAAGTGTTCAAACCCTTAAAAATTGTGTTTTATACTCAGATTTTCCTTTTTAAAAATTCCTTACTATAAAAAAGGAAAAAAAAAAAGCAACAAACTGAGGAGTAAACGTGAAAGGGAAAACTTGACCATAACTATATTATGATATTTCTTAAGACCATGAGTGGGTGGAAATGGCCTTTTGGATAATAACAAATTGGTGGCTCCACAAACTGCGCGAGAGATGTTTTGTCCACCAATCAGCCAAAACCTGAAAAAGGAGAATGGGGCTTAGTATATGTCAGGATGTCTAAAGGAATCGGGAACCGCGTACAATTCTCCTTGCGGGCTCAGCTCAAAGAAAAGGGATAAAGTTATAAAGTGCTTCTCTTTGCTTTTGGTATTTGTATAAAACGAAACTTGACGCACCTCATTTCAAGTTAAATGCATATATATATATATACACACATATATATTGCATGGGGATTAAAAACCCCCATTTTCTATCTTCATCATTTCATAAAGTTGGGAGCTTTTAGAGGAGTGAGTATCACCCACCTCTTTTTTTTTTTTCTTTTTAACAGGTTTACAATTTGAATATCAGCCATCTTTTATTGTATTGTATACGTAAATTTTGTATTGGAAGAGATAAGTAGTGACATTAATTTTATCAATAAATGTACATGAATTAAAAATGATCGTGACTAACTATTTAATTGATAAAAGTGTTATGAGATACAATTGGAGACATTTGCTTGTATCAAGTATATCCTATAAAAAATTTTATTTAACAGTTAAATTACATCAAATTATAAGGACATGATCATCAATAGGGGAGGATTCATTCCCATCTGATGGCCAGTAAACTACACACAATATTTCTATAAATAAGAAAGAAAATTTTGAACGATAGCAAAGCGACTGTTGCCTCTTCTTATTCCGGCATGATCTTGTCGAAGTTTGCGGCCCATGTCGGATTACTGGATTTATCCCTCAGTGTGAGATTACATATAAAGGAGAGCTATACAGCCTATACACACTACTGGATCTGGGGCTTCTTAAAAAATCTTGATCAAATCATCATAATGTTTTCTTAGTATAAGTACACAACAAACGGGAGATTCTCCCTTAAGCTTTATTAACCCCTTGAATCATCTTCTCTTTTACTGGTTTTAATGCACAATCCAATGTTTACTAGTAATGCTTTCAGATTTTCAGTCCCAAGTGTCTCAAAAGACCAACCGTAGAGCCGTAGAGGCAAGGGCAGAACGAGAAAGAGATTCATGGTAGGGCCTTTTTTTTCCCTAACGCAAATCTTTAGCCTTTTCTCCCTCCTTACTAAGAGATTCAAGGTAGAATGTTTAGTTTTTTTTCTTCTTCTTCTTCTTCTTCTTCTTCAGTGACTTAGACCTTGGCATTTTTTATACGTAATTTAAGGCCCCAGGTGGCCGGGTTGCTATCCTGACGGTCCTGATGCAAAAGGTTTCAGAGTAGAGAAGAAAATATCAAAAAAGAAGAAAGCTAAATGAATCTAAAGAAACAAATTAATCAACTAAAGACTAATTCAACAATCACAATTCAATGAAAAGATCTAATTATAACTAACACTGTAGAAGAATAACTTTGATGAGACTAATGAAAAAAACTGTAAAAACTTCAGGGTAACAAGCTGTACGGAAGAAGCTGATGAAATCTCTGCATTGCTATGGCCATGAAAAACCGATGAGCAAGTCTATGTACATAGCTAATAACCAAACAACCGAGAAGAATCTTCTACTTTGTTGGAAGCCTGAGAAGGCATATTAGCATTTCAATTGAGTTGACATGAAGCGACAGGATAAAATGTCTATCAACATGTCATGGTTTGAGAATGTTTGAAAAACTGTTCCCTTAATTGTTATGTTGCTTCTTTGCAGATTAAAGTCCTTATTCATAAAGGAATTCAAGTGTATGCCCTTCATATGTATCCCAAACCAGTGAACGGAGCATAGGACCTAGCAAATAATGCTCACACTAAACAAATAATACAAAACTCCAAGCCATTTATTCTTTTCCCTCAGTAACAGCATTCTAAAGTCCCCAGTCAAAAAGGCTCCATCTCTGTTGGCCTAAAAAGCCATACAAAGGAAGCACTCAAAATAATTTGAATGCAAAATGCTAGAAAAGGAGATTTGAATGAAAGAGAGGAATATATGAGGTTGCTTGGGACACAGCCCTAGCAACAATCACCAATAACGGTTAGCTTTTTCGTATAAATAAGCATAACTGTAACTAAAGCCAAAAGCAACCAATGCTTAATAACTATATCTGTGGTAGGACACATGAAAGAAAAAGATGGGCCTCAAAGTGAAAGTCAGGATTAGCTTTTCCCTTATTTCACTATCAAATCTCCCTTAATTGTTAAGGGGGAACACCTTAGCATTGTAGCCCCCTGCTTAAAACATATATTTATTTGTTTTTTCCTCTTCTTTTGATTAAAGTAAAGCACTCTCTCATAAAGCAATATTAAAAGTAAAATATGGCATTATCCACTCAAAAGTGCCGCTCATTTTATGCTTTTTGAGCTTCAAATAAGAATCTTTGGTGGAAGAGGTGGCCATGTGGGAGAAAGCAATATCCAAGGAGAAGGAAGGGAACAAAACTCTCTAGACTTTATAAAGGTTACAAGGAGAAAAAGTTGCCCTAATTTTGACATGACAGCCTCGTTAATGCAAAGGTGATGGAATTACGTACCACACACTCCTTTTCTAAAAAGTTAGCATTATTTTATAGTCAATTAATAATATATAGGAATGAAAGTAAATTAATGGACTTACATCTCAGCATCAAGCTTGGGAAGTCACTTCTTGGTAAATGTAAATGCTTTAGTCCATCTCCTCTGCATCTGCACTGAAGCGCATAAAGTGGTGGATCTCTTCTTTTGTTTTTCACATCTGTACCTGAGGAAATCGTAAATTATATAGTTAGCTCATTGCATTGTGTTTATGACTGAATTTCTGAACCTCCAGTTCCGAATAAACTATTAAGGAGGAAAAAATATATTAAGAGTTTACAGTAACTTTATAAATGTACACTATATTTGAAATTAAGGATGCTAATCTGTCAAGAAATCTACCTTCACATCTTAAAGAATGCAGGAGAAACAATTCTCCTTCCATAATGCGTGTATAAGCAAGTAAAAAGGCAAGAGAAGCTACACAACCAAAGAGCAAATGCAATATATATAACCACCTTACATATAAAAGGCTGTCAAAAAAATCCTTTCATATAAAAGGAACTTATCAAGATAAAAGACAATAACTTGATAAAAAGGTCAAATTGTAAGACATTTCATATGCCAGTGTTCATTAACAATGTAAATATTGTAACTAAACATTTATTTTTACAGGCAGATAAGAAAAAGGCTGATGCCGATACAACAAACATAAAATGCCCTCTGATGAACACTTGTACATGCATTAGAAGTCAACTACATTAATAACCTACATTTGGCAAAATTGTTTGTCCTATGCATGTATATATTATTGTACAAAATCCCATATTAAGGGAAAAAGGAGAAGGACCTTTTAGTTAATAGGCTACCCTAGAACTTAAACAAGCTTCACTTATCTTGGCTATCCAACATATTTTCCATATAGTCATCCTGAAGAAGAGGATCAAGTAAGCTCTCAACAAACGTCCTTTGCTTACAAATTTCTTCAAGAATCAACAACCGAGCATTCTCGCAAGCCTTTGCACTAGGAAAACCAAGAGTCCATCTCCCATCAACAGCAGGACCAGATGGCTTTGCAGGGTGGCCTCTGGCTACAGTGAATTTAGGGTCAAATTCTCTTATCCGAAGATGTAACCATGTCGAATGATCCTTGTCTATCTTAGGCTGTTTCAGTGAAGGGTAGAAATATATTACAGAATGATAGTAAACATTATATAGGAGTAAATTATTTGAGCTTGAAATTTCAAAGAGAAGCAAACAAAAAGGCATGAGATAAGAGGGCATGCTGGAATCACTGGCTACATACTTATTCTAATATACTAAACTATAAGCCAATCATGAAGAAATTAAAAATATTTCATGTAGGAATAATTAAGAAACATGTCTACAAGCACAGATAAGGTAGATTGATGAAACTAGTTTCTTTTATCCCCCCTCCTTTAAAAGGTTTTTACGCTGGGATTTAAGGTTTTATTAGGGTAAGAAATAGTTTATTCTTTGGTAGCAATTGGAGAAGAAAAGGAACGTTTATGATGTTTTTGTGCAATAAGCAGTAAACCAAATTCAATGCGTGAAAAAAAGAAAGAAAGAAAGAAAGAATGGGATTTAAGCAAAAAAAAAGGGTTTAGCAATCAACAGCACTGGAAAGTCTCCATACTCTAATAACTTTGACATGCGGAGTAATATTTGCCAAGAATATTTGCCAAGAAAAAGTTTTATTAATTTTAATTTTAGTGATTCTAAGATAAGGTGTTGATGCAAGGTCAGGAATGGATTATTCCACAAGGAGGGAAGTGTTTTTCCCCTACCTGTCGCTGCCCAGGCAAGAAAACATTCCATCCCATACAGGGTAAGTCTTCCCGTGGATGTGGAGGAGGAGAGATATTGAACATAGTGACAAATAAATAATTAATATCACTACTAACAACCTAAGCAGCTTAGTGGTAATCTCCTTCTAATGAAAGTAAGAGGTCTTGAGTTTGAGTTGCAGGCCATGTGGGTGGGTTGGGTTAAGAGATGGGAGATGGTTGCCTCACATTTTGCAACCCAAGATCAATATATATATATATATATATAGCATTAGTTATCACTCATTTTAAAAAGAGGGCAATGGGGGAGTTGCGAGCAGAGTGAATGGAGGTGGTTTTCTCCTGTTATCTGTACAAGCCAACCAACATAGTCTCATGTCATGTATGTCCTCCAAATTTGAAGTAGTTTAGAATCAAAAGACCAACATAAAAAATTCTTGCAAGGTTGACTTATCATATTCATAGCTAAAACTTTATCAAAAGATACTGGCTTCTAACAATGTATGGACTTACACACAACCCAGCCAGAGGAGCAATGGCAATTACAACTCCCCGCTGACTCCGGAATGGATGTTTCTCTGCAAGTATCAACTTGCCAGATATACCCCTTGCCACTGGTACCAGGTAAATATCCCTGATTCCAGCATTAGAAAAGGCTATTCTGCAAGGAATTCCAGATCCTGCAAGGTTCAACAAGTGGAGTATGAGGGAATATGTGGTTTTAGTGAATGTTCAGAAAGTCAACTAATCATTTACCTAAAGGAACCTCTGACCCAAAGCTTGCAGATGAAATATCTGCTGTAAAAGCTTTTCCAGAATCACTTTTAGGGAAATTCAATGACTTCAGAATGGGTCTTTCAATTAAATCTCCCATGATAAGAAGTGCCTTGAGCTGAAGATGGAGAAGAAAAACCTACACATATTAACCATAATGAGATTTTTATTGGAGGGGTGGCAACATTAGGTGGATATCTGTTGAATAAAACCATAAGTTCAACATTAAATGAGGCAACTAAAGAAATCCAACACATAAGAAGAAACCAAACTCAAAAGGAAAAATGTTCAAGTTCAACAATTTCAGTCAAAATAGACAAAAGAAAGCATGGAACATGTGACAGCATAAGGCTCTATCATAAATTTGATGTAACTTCACCTATCATGTATGATTGCAATAAGAACAGAAAAGTATATGAGATACAAGGGCAAGCATATATGTTGAACTATCAATAAAGTTGAGAAGTGTTTCATTTTCTCCAAGTAGTCAGGGGACTTAAGGTGTGAACCAAAGTAAGAAGTCCCAGTTAAAATGGCAAGGAAATTTCTGGATTTCTATCTTCTAGCCATTCAAGATTACAACATGTGGACTAAAAGACATTGCAATATTAACAAACTTTCCACTGAATTGTCTTGTTGGGCAAAAAATCCTAACCAAGTTTTTCTTTTATTGGCTACCTTAAAGCTTTTCTTTTACTGGCTACCTCGTAGCTGATTGCCCAACTTTTTAGCTTTGAACCAAAGTTAGACTAAGAAAGCAATATCTCCAAAACAAAAAATAAAAATAAAAATAAATAAATAAATAAATTATAAGTGTGAATAAGTAATAAAACACCTTCACTGCATCAACCATCCTCTGCCAAGCAAAGTGAGAAGAAGTTGAACTACCTGCAATACAAAATAACATGAAGTATTGAAGTGCACAAGTAGCCACATAGGCATACACCTATAGTAGATGCATGCTTGTTTACATATTCTCATAGATAAACAGATGCATGCTTGAATATATATATATATATATATATATGTTCATATATACATTAGAAAAGCATAAAAGAGATTTATACCATCCATGGTTTGCTGGCAGACAGCAAGCTCCAATGCAAATAAGGGATCCTTAGCTTGGGTTGGTTCCTCGAGAGCTGCATTATATCACAATAAAATATTAGAAAGAGACAGTTCAATACCAGCATTTCCCTCATTGAAAAACTTCTTTAAGGGAAAAATAAAGAAAAGAATCCAATAAATAAACAAACAAATTGACACTTCCATGAAAAAAATCATATTGAAGACATTTAACTGGGATGGCCAAAAAAAGATAATTAACTGGAATCTTTACCTGTTTTACAGCTTCCCCACTCACGTTTTATGGTATCAAGGATGTGATCAAACCAACATTCATCCAATTCCTTTTGTAGACATTCACAGGATTGCTTGTATGATGTCTGTCAATCACTTTAGAAAGTTTTCATAGATACAATGTATTTCAATGAACTTCAACACAAGGAAGTAAAAGCTTCTCTTTCATCCAGGATTAAATATAACCATGTCTATTATAAAAAATTAAATAAAATAAATCTAACACCAGTCTCTTTCTGCTATTCAAAAAAGAAAAGATTTCTCTTTCATACAGGATTAAATCTAATTATCTGTTTGATCTTTGATGTATTAAAATCACAATGGAACAGGGGAAAAAAAATCAGTTGAATCCTCACATTGAAACTAAGTAAAGAGTGCAGTGTTGTTTCAGGTTACCAATCAAATATGCAGAGCAAATTTCTGATCCATGTTATTCATAATCTAAAGCATACATGTGATTCACAAACATAATTAATTTAATGCATGCATAAAAATCGGTTGAATCCTCACATTGAATATGTGGATACCATCATCACTAAGCATCTTTCCTTGAAATATGAATAGCTTTCGCAAGAACCACCCTGTATGCCACTGTATCAGTGGAGAGACCGGAGGCTGGCTAGCTAAAATCTTAAGGAATGCCTCTAAAATCTGTGGAAAGAAAACAGATAATCATGCAAAAGTCAACACAACCAAGATACAGAATCACTTTTCAAGACAGTGTTCAACTAATATTCTACTAACAAGAATTAACAGAGCTAATAAGTAAAAGAGAATTAGTGATTCAAATAAAGAGAAAAGTGAAGTAATAATAAATACAATCATAAAACCGTGGCTAAACCTGAGGCATAAATCTTGCAAGGATACTTCCATCTGCTATTGGTGAATTTGAGATGTTGAGGGTCTGAGAGAAAATATAGACAATGAAATTAAATCAATAAATATAAATTTAAGGAACACTAAAATGTAAACATATTATTAGGAAGCTAACAATCATTCATAACCCTATACTTACCATTGAATCCTGAATTTGACTTAGCCCCAATACTGAAGCAAAAAAATACCCAAGATCTACATAATAAGAAAAACAGAATGAAAAGGATCCCATGCAAGAATACAATTAAATGGAAACACTGATACAAGGAGTTATGTCCAAAGTTTCCAATGATGTTACCAAAATTATACACATGATACAAGACTTAATACAACATACCTTTACTCTCCACTATGATAATCAATAAAAATAATGATAGGAATGATATACTATGATTTTCGGAGAAAATATATGCAAGTATTCCACTCCTGCATCATGGAAAAATTGTGTCAATGCAAATTGCAAATAAAATGAGTCATGAATCATAAATAAATGAAAGTACCTATCTAAAACAGCATGTTATTGTTTCTACTTCTGAGGTGATATTCAAACATTGAGCTTTGTCTAAGGTGACATAAACAACATTTTCATCAAACAAAAAAGGTTGGGTTTGGGCTTTGAAGTGCCCTTGGTCTATGAAAAAAAAAAAACCATTAATCCCGCTCCCAACCCAGAGAAAAATGCTCTCATAATTGGGACAACATGCATTATATGCTTTCTCACCTTTTTTATTATTTTTTTAAGGCAGTAGGGATATGATTAATCACTAATTTCTGTCAACTGCCAACAAAAGAACAGGCAACAGAGGAAGCATGCCAACCTTTCTGAAAATACATCAGCACCCCCAGGATTGCGGATGAAATGATAATTTGAGGATTCATATTCAACCAAATGACCAAGAAGACGGTTTGTGTTGATTTTTTCAGCTCCTTCACACTCAGGACTGGAACATTCCAAAATATTTATATCATTCAGAAAGTTGCTAAAAGAATTTGTATCACTAAAGCTATCACCCTTGTCTCCATTGGTAGAATATTCTGTGTTGAAGGTAATGTATGGATATAAAAGAAGGGCAGCAACTACATTAGTCAAGCTTTTTCCGCCAACAACTTGAAGTAGCCGGGAAACTATGTACAGAGAAGTAACAGCAGATATATTCAAGCCCTGTGTCAAAAATAAATTGGTGAACAAATCCTTCATAAAGGAAAAGTATACTACACTACCAATATAAACAATATGATTGACTACAGATTCAACTGTATGTTTCCACCAACATAGATAATCATAACAGTATTTTTTTTTTCCACTTTTGTTGTTGATCTTGATCCTTTTCATGGATCAGGGAAGGTAAGGCAATGAAGATGGTGCCTAACAGTGCCAGAGCTCCTGCCCTCTCCAACTTTAGGGCACTTGCAAGCAATTGGTAAATTTCAAAGTAGCCATCTTAATTATAATATCATTTTGAAATATTATCATTAATTAGTGATGAGGTAGATTTGTCTCAGGACTCAAGTCCCCTTCTCCCTTCCTAATCAATTGGTAAATTTCAAAGTAGCCCTCTTAATTATGATCTCATTTTGAAATATTATCATTAATTAGTGACCAGGTAGATTCCCCCCACACTATCCAGGGAGGTAGACAAGACTCACATGAGAAAGGACACCAAGAGGAAAGAAAATAAACCATTGATCAGATTTGAAAACAATGTCTGAGGCAGAGACCATCCTCTATCTTCTAATATTTTTACTTTTCTATTATGTTGCAGATTACTACTAAAACATTTACAACTTATGAAGCAAAGAAGAATGAATTTATGGTAGGAATTTTTTTATGCAAGGCAAGATAGGAAGAAAATAAAATTTATGAGTAGAGATCCACTTACACACCATACTTACACAAATTCTTGACCATTCATATCTCCACTTTCAATGGTTGAGATTTATCAAAACTTTTTAGATGAAAAAGATAATTATCTTTAATAAATATGATAAAAAGTGAATAAATCTCTACCATTGAAAGTAAAAAAATAAATGGTCAAGATTTTGTGCAAGTGTGGTCTGTAAAACTTGTAAGTGGATCATAACTCTAAATGTTATATGTATAAATCAATTAGCTAGGACTTAATATCTAAAGAACATTTAGATACTATTCTCGGGAAAAACGGAAGTCCCATATTGAGTATAAGGAAGCCACGTGCTTAAACATATAGTATGCATCAACAATAAACTCAAATCATGATTCCTCCATCCTCAAACATCAACAATTACAAAACTACCCCAAAAATTAAACCCAGCAGGGATCTCTCGAGAGCATAAACAACAATATAATGAACAGAGTTTGGTGACAACTTACTTTAATCTCCCCTAACTGTAGTAGTGGGATCAATATTGGAAAAATCAGAATGCCAAGAAGCTTTTGGGCAACCACCATACTCAAACGAGACTCACCAACAGAAAGAATGTCTTTGAAGTAGTAGAGATCATCAACAATTTTATCGGTTTTCAGAAATATATCTTCTCTCCTTTCAGGTGTGCACTTCTCCCTGCACCAGTCAACTACTACTCCATTAAAATTTATGGATACAACTAACATAAGCTAAATTTCTCTGAGAATTAATGGTAGCATACCGTACAGAATGGACGAGAGCATCCAGATGAAGACATTGCTCTCTTAAACTATGAACCAAGTCTGAAAAGTATTTTGAGGCTGGTGGAGTAGTTAGGAAATCATAGACCATATCATCACTAACTGCATAACCAAGAGGGGGAAAAAAATGCTACAGTAAGATGCCAAAATGCTTTCTATATCCATTACATTATTCATCTCTTTTATCTGTAGAAGAAAATAAAAGATGAATACCATTGTATATGTTGAGGGTTAATGCACGTATAGCAGTTTGAATCATCTTTTCCCCATGCTGAGCAAATTTAAGAGCCTCATCATACAAGGGAAATGAGACCACAACATCCTGAAATAATGGACATGATA